CTGCTGTTGTTTTGTATGATGGAGAAATTAAGGAAGCTGAAGAGGGGGTTGTTTTTGAGTCAGATCATTATATCCCCTTAACCTTGAAGAGAAACATCACAATTGAGGAGTTAATCACAAAAATTTCGTTAAAGATTCGTGTAGCAGGCCAGAGAAGACTATCTTCACTTCAGTACAGATTTCCTACTGAACTTTTTCCGCTCACGTATACATCATTTCAGCTTTCAAACGATGATGATATTTCTATGATGGTTGATGCTCATATGGGGAGTTCACAATCTCTTATTGAAATGTATGCTACTTTTTTTGAGGTTCGTGCAACTCGTGGTCTCTCATATTCCTCTCACTTTGGCATTGCATATCAAACTGATCAAGTTGATAGCCCGACACAACTGATCTGTAATGATTTCACATCATTAATGGCGGATCCAACGCCATATACCATGCCATCAAGTTCAATAGGAAGGCATTCATCTGCAACTGCTTATGATCTCAACCCACGTGGCTTCACCAATAATCCATATGGCAACATCTCTTCTACTTCAAGGGGCAGACATTCATCTGCCAATGTTTTCGACTTACATATGGAAATGCCAACGAGACGACAGTCTATTCACATCCCACATGATACAATGGCCTCAAGTTCAAGGGGAGGACACGCAAGCGGGAACTTATTTGACCTCAACATTGGATTATCGGAGGAACCCTCATCTCCACCAGAAGAACCTCTTCGGGAGCCAGGTGCAGATGGTGCTGAAACGGGATTATTCGTTGAACCTGACTCACCACAGTTTAACGTACATTCTGATGATGATGAGGATGACGTTCCGATAAATACAACACCAGCCGAACTTCCTGCACATATGTATGAGGCTGATTATGATGCAATGTATGAGCCTGAATTTCCAGATCTTCCTGATGTTGGCAACTATGGACTTCAATTATCAGTCAATGACGGTAATTTACATATTGGAATGGAGTTCGCATCGAAGGAGGAAGCAATGATGGCAATAAAAAGTTACAATATTCGTAACTCAGTTCAGTCCCGAGTTGATCGATCTAACATGGAGAAATATGTCTGCTACTGCGTCCAACGTGACAACGGATGTCAATGGATGGTCCGTGTATCAAAGAGGAAGAGGAAGAACAACTTATGGGAACTAACCAGATACAACGGTCCTCATACATGTTGTGCAACAGGTATAAACCAGGATCATCCCAACTTGGACTCCAACATTATTTGTCAAGCAATCATGCCCATTGTGAAGCAAAGCTCTCATATAGCTGTTGCAGTGTTGATTTCTGCTATACAGTCACAATATGGGTACACTGTCTCATATAAAAAAGCGTGGTTGGCAAAACAGAATGCCATTTGCAAACTTCATGGCGAATGGGATTCCTTTTACAACGAGCTGCCCAGTTGGTTTCATGTTGTGCAAAGACTTAATCCTGGGACAATTGTTGAGTTCGAAACTCAACATCATTACGTGAATGATCGAATGGTTCGCGATCGCTGCCAATTTTACCGAGTCTTTTGGACTTACCCTTAGTGTATTAATGCAGTCAAGTACTGTAAACCAATTGTCCAAATTGATGGTACTTTCTTGTATGGGAAATACAAGCAAGTTTTATTATTGGTTGTGGTCCAAGATGGAAATCGCAATATTCTTCCTGTTGCGTTTGCCCTCGTTCAAGGAGAAGACACTGAGTCTTGGGCTTTTTTCCTTAAAAATTTACGTTTACATGTTGTCACCAGGGAACGACTATGCATTATTTCAGACCGAGGAGCCAGGATAAAAGCAGCAATGGACTCTTTGGGTACAATGTATAGACCTCCACATGTTCAACATCGTTATTGTGTCCGTCATATTGCTGCAAACTATTACGAAAAATACAAGAAGAACGATGAACGTCAGTTAGTCGTGCAGATGGGTATGTTACTTTTTCCCAATTTTTCTATCAATTTCTTATTACTTATTTATACTTCATATTAACTATTACATATTCCTAATGGCTTAGGTTACGAACTCTTACCTCAAATGTTTGAGTCGATGCTACAAGAGCTGTTTGGCAAAAATAAGAAGGGGTGCGAGTACATTATGGACATCAGCAAAGAAATGTGGACAAATGCATATGACGGGGGGTATCGCTATGGTCATATGACAACAAACTTGGCTGAAGCAATAAATTCAACCTTAAAGGGGACGCGTCATTTACCAGTCACGGCGTTGGTTAAAACGACTTATTTTCGTTTGGGTCAACTCTTTGCAAAGCTCGGTAGACAAGCTCTTACTTGGATGCAAAACGGACATATTTACCACCCAAGACTAGTAGTTGATTTACAGAAAAAAGTGGCTGCATCAAATGGGATGTTAGTTACAAATTTTTCTCGCACCCGTGAATTGTTTCGTGTAACCGAAATGCCACGTCCGCTGCAAGGGATTGAAGCTAACTCTTTCAGAGTTAATCTGCAAGAGAGGTGGTGCGATTGTGGTTTCTTTCAAGCACTCAAATATCCATGCTCTCATGTCATTGCTGCTTGCTCACATTCGCATTTGGACTACAAAAATTATGTTGATCCCGTATACCAACTTTCACAAGTATTCAAGGTATATGAATTTGAGTTTCCGCCCATAGGAAACGAAAGAGACCCAAATGAGATTCAAACTTGGCTTACAATTGTACCAGATCCATTGCTATTGAGGGATTCAGGTCGTCCAAAAATCTACTAGAATACATTGTGATATGGATATTCGGGAGAAGTCAACAGAACAAAAACGATGTGGGCATTGTAGAAACATCGGGCACAATAGAAAAAAATGTCCAGCTCTGTTATCATCATATAACCGTTAACTCTTATGTAATTAATATTGTATTTAAATGAATGTTTTTGTTTCTAATAATTTAATGTTATTGCATTTATATAATTTGTCAATGTATGTACACCTAAATAATTTTTTTAACTTTTAAATACATAAATATATTTAATATATTTATTTAATATAATAATTAATATTATTAGTTATAATTTTTTTAAAATATAATAATAATTCCACATTCTAAGTAGAGAAAAATATTAAATTAAACAAATTAAAAGTTATTAAAAAATTTATGTATACGATGATACATTTAATGTTCTGATTGGAGGATTAAATTTATTAAATTAAATTTTCAATAAGACTAATTTTATAAAAATATGTAAGTCTTGAAGATTAAATATGTAATTATACTAATTTATTAACTTATGCATCAATATTTTCGTTAAATATTGATATGAGATGACTAGATTGATAACATTTAAATAATTAACTGATAAAATTAATAGATCGATAATCAAAATCAAAAATAATAATATAACCATATGTGTAATATTATAATTTCATACATTTTTCCTATAACTACAATAAAGTCAAAACTGGTTTTCATATATTGTTATATCATATTAATGTAGATAATTCACTCCACCTTTAACACACATTAACAAAATACATTTGATAATTCTTACATTATAATCGAAACATTTTACATAATATATTATTAATTTATAATAATAATAAAAATAAACTATTTATTATAAAACAAAATATGTGTCTGCTGAGTTGGCAAAGGCGGAGACGCGCCTTCCACACGTGGCATCCAACTCAGCGAAAACGCGGGTAAAGCGCGTCCCCGGGGACGCGCCTTTGCCAACTCAACAGAAAGGGTGTTACTTCTGGAAATATTGGTCAAACGGTGTCAAAAAGAGAAAATTTAAAGCAAACGGTGTCAATTATGTAATTTAGCCGATTGATGGCCTGTCGTTTTCCTATGGGTTGGTCTCTGGTCAAATCACAATGCAAGTCTTCGTATTAGACATGAAATTATATTCTCATCCTTTTTTTTCTTTTAAAATACATTGAATTACATCAACTTGTCATTAAACTAGGTTTAAATTATTATTTTGATTATTAAATTTTAAAAACTCTATACAATAATTATTAAATTTAATGAGATATCTTACAACGATAATTAAATTTAATGATTATTTTATAATAACTCGATAAATTGTATGATTATTTTATAATAATTTGATAAAAAATAATAATCATTCAAATCATATCAAACCATGAGGTGTTAAAGCTCTATTGACAATTATATTAAATATATTTGGAGTGATTATAAGATAATATATGTTGAATAAAATTTTATCAGTTTATTAATAATGCATATTTTTAAACATACCAACATTTTCGTATTACCATTAATATCATTCTATGTATATATAAATATATTAAACAATAATTTGCCTCTGTTTAGGGTGCAATGGGGTGTCCATTTGCTTTCATGTCAAAACAAAAGTCAATTCCATGTACATAAATGCTTGGTTAGTCAGCAATTTATAGGGAAAAGTATGAGGTGCAACAGTTTTAATAAAGACGTTATCGATTTTGTTATTTTTTTTATCAAAATAAGTAAAAATTTATCGAAAATATTATTATTTCTACTTGTTTTGTTATTATTGGGTATTTTATTAGTTTTGTTAACATATATGGTAAAACGTTATCTAAAACATTATTTTTTCTACCGATTTTGTTATTATTAGACACTTTACCGAAAATGTTAAAAAACATTAATGTTTTAGGTAAAAATAATAATATTTCTAGTAATATTTTACCGATTTTGTTAAAAAAAAAATAATAAAATTAATAACATCTTTTCTTAATTTTAGTTTTATAATAAGGGTATCAAACTGTAAAACTTTTCATTTATAGTATACGATAAGGGAGAATCCTAATGACCATTTATTAACCATTCAAGCTGAACATTCCTCATCTTCCTTTTCTTCTTTGCTTTGTCACTGTGTTTTTTTTATTTATATTCGAATGTGAATACGAAAAACCGATGTTCGACGTTGATATTTTAAGATAAATGAAGAGTTCGAACAGATGACTCCAACTGTCTGTCCCTGTGTTCATCCGAGAAGGACGACACAGGTGACACTTGAGTTTCAAGCATTGATGTGTATTCGAATGCGAAAATATCGAAATATACTGGCGAAACATAAAATTTACAGTCGGTACATGTTATCGTGTTCTGTCACAGAGTTCAAGCAAAGGTACCAGAACCAATTAAGAAATATCAACTACACGAGAAACAACAGGGTATGCAAAATTATCATCTATACCATGTATGACACCCATAACCAGAACGATTTTGCTTCAAGTGATGCAAAACAGTTTTCACGTCTTACGTGGATCGACCTTCGAGCCCCAGTTTTGAAGTTAACCAAGCACAGACTTCTTCCATCTCCTCCGGGATCGTATAGTGGCCAAGCCTAGATTGTCAAACAGATTACTCGGTTCAAGTCGATGAATTGTCAAATAGATAAGAAACATGAAGGATTTGTTAGACTATCGAAAGATCCATACCCATTGTAGGATTTGAAAGTCGTGTCCTTGAATCCGTTTGAACTCAGTGCTCGAGAGGATTTCTCACCAAATCTATATGGAACCACATCATCACCTGAAAACGAGCATGCAACATATAATGCCATACGCACTTCGAATGAACACCTGTAACCTTGATGCCAATCTACGATAATTTGCATAATGAAGGTAAATTATAAATACCTTTGCCATGGCATAGCAAAATAGGCAAAGACGCAGCACGCCTTGCAGCAGCATCGTGTCCTATTTTGCTTTGCAAAGTCCTGGAAAATAATAGGAATTATAACAATACACCAGACAAAAGGGTGGAAAAGGAGATAAAATGTCAAGCTCGTGTATGGAGCTAATGTAGGAAACTCACTTTGAACATGGAAGCCATCCGCTAAGCCCGACAACCACACTCAAATTGGCAGGATACGTGTTTCCGTTTCCATATTTTCCATGTGTAAAACAGGTTGCAGAGTATAGCGAGGTAGCTGCACCCATACTGAAGCCTCCAACACCAAGTTTAACTGTAATCGGAAAAAGCTTTGTTTAGAACAGTGTCGAAAACAATGACGGTGAACAAAACTTTCGTCGATAAAACTAAAGTGAATGCAATATTGCATTGGTTTTAAGCCAATCTAATCAAGCAACAACAAATTACAGGGTGTTAAACCGACCCCAAAAACAATAAACCCCGCAGAATGTAAGGATAGAGTTTGGCAGCCGAAAGATGTAAAACTTTATTTGTCATTAATTTTCACCATAGAACGAAGTATCTAAAATTCATTGAAAATATTTGGAAGAGAAATGGGAAAATGCTGCCCCCCGGAAAAAAAATCTAGCATCATAAAACCTCATAAAAAGGAGCAAAAGGGAACGTACTGTCAGCAGGCTCTGCTGACAGCAAATTTGTAACGTGTGCTGCAGCAGCATCCAAACCCTCTATATCATCAGGGGCATCTTCTGAAAGTTCACCCACATCGAACCCTGATGCATTTTAGATTAGAATTGAACAATTTGATTAGATTCAACTAAAAATCATCAAAATTGTAAGAAAACGATTTTAATGCATTTAGTTTCTATCATATGATTACGAGATAGCATTATTACAGAAATTTAAGAACATGCTTACAAGCAGTTGATGGAAAGCCACCAAATATACTTATTGGCTGAGTCGGGGCAGTTGGGCATATCCATTTAATCTGAAGCATAGGATCATCACAAGCACAAAAATTATGACGTAATCAAGAAGTATAAATTCATTGCCTAATTGTTAGAATAAATTCCAGTAAACATCTTTGGCTGCACTCAACCACCCTTACATTTGGAAGAGGGAGAGTCTCCAGGAGCTGGGACCAACTGTCAAACAAGATGAACAGATAAAATGAGGATGAGTAGGTATTCCAAAAGATATCAACGTTTTTCTTATCTAATATTCGAGATCATTTACCACAAAGATATGGAACACATAGGAAAGATAACTCAGAGAAAAGGTCGAAGTTTTGAAAAGAGTCGCCATTACCGAAATCAGGAGCAAAATAATCAAACACAAGCAAGTCAATTGCTATTTTCCTTGAAAGACTTTTGAACTCTTGAGAGATGGGAACAAATAGAAATAAACTCAACATGAATATAATAAACGAAATATTTCTCCCCAAAAAAATTGAAAATTAGAAGAGTGACGAGGGATCTGAGTTATCAATCGTTTCCTTTTCCTAGGAGAAAATAAGTTAAACCGATGGGATTATTGAGAAAATAATCTAAAACTTATTCACCAAAAAGAGAACCAAAAACCACAAACAATAAGCTTAGAAAGCGATGCAAAGTTTATAATACCTTGAACCATTATCACCGAGGCCATGTAGCCAAACTATAGTAGCTTGGTGCCTGCCTTTCGGCCTGACCACATAGGTTCTTCCGAACTCAAGTGCCCTCCTGACAGTTCTACCACCTGAAATTCATCGCAGTAAAGTTAAAAACAGTTTAAATTAAACCCGAGTTGGAGAAAAACAACCTCATGAATGCACAAAAAAAACTCTACTTAATTCGACATTTGTACCAATCAAGCATACAATGAAGAGAACAAAATGATTCAATCGACAAAAAACAATCAAAGTATTTAATAAAAGCTTGCTACTGAGCTCTCATTTTGGAAACCATCACCATGGCAGCAGGTAGGGAAGCAGATAAACTAACCACGGGAAACGGAAGGACCAGTGAAGCTCATAGTAGAGTGGCACCTAGCAAATGAACTGATCCTGCAAATGAACCGAAACCCAGATTTATATATTTCAAGAATAAAAAGTAAATTCTACAAAGTAATCCATCTTCAGTACAATGATGCAATATACTTGAGATTAAGCAACCAGGCACCTAGATTAAGCAACACTTACACTAAACTCAAAATTAGAAAGAAAAAAAAGGCACACTACAACAAATTCATCGGAAATAAAACATTTCTAGCTAATCCAGATTACAAATGTTTCGAAACCCATCATAAAATGGGACTTCAACTCAAACTAAAATGACGGTATGCATATGAAAATAAGATATAGGAAGGAATACCGAAAGAGGAACAAGAATGAAACTTTGAAAATTCAACTTCTTCTTTTAAAGATTAACAGGTCGCAATGTACTGCGAAGTGAAATCCAGTAGATTCTAGGATATTTTTTTTAAAGAAGAAAGCATTAGCCGGGGTAAAGAAGAGATCAAAGAACCGAAAAAGGGGTTTAGGGTTTAGTCAGTTTACCTTTCTTCGACAATGACTTCGACTTGGATGCGAAGTGCCCGAAGGCTTTAGATATGAAAGATCTCTCTTATTTTGGTCTCCAATCTCGAATTAAGTTATTTTATTTACTAAAGGAATAATTATTATCCTTTGAAATCTCAAATTTTGCGCATTCATTTGTCAAATGGATTAAGGATTTTTCGAACATTTATTATTTTATACACGAATCAACTTATTTCAGTGGTTAAATGAATTGTTCTTATTCTTAGAGGTCACGGATTCAAACACCAGCGACTACAGTAAGATGACTGAGTGTTTATTATCAAATGACTGAGAGTATTTAAAATCGATACTATTTTATAATTACCTTAGCTTAATCGAACAAAACATATATTACCTTATAATCAATTTTAAATTAATAAAAAATAGTTATATACATTGTCATATGAGTACGATTATTCAATATCTATTCGATTCATCATACTTCTTATTCTTCTCATCTCCTATTAATAAGAAAAAATTACTTAAAAATAACTTTTGTAAAAGAAAGAGAGATAAATTACATATTTAATACCTAAACTATCATTATTTCTTTTTAAAATTACACCTAACGTTTAATTTTCATTTCATTTTAGTACCATTGTTAAAAAGCATAACGCATTTAGTATGTAAATTATCAGTTTTAGTCCGTTTTAGTACCTAAACTTTGAAAAAAATTCAAAACTTAATGTTAAATTTTGAACGGGATATGAAAATGAAATAAAAATTAAACTTTAAGTGTGATTTTGAAAAAAAAATTTAAAAGTTTAGGTACTAAAACGGATCATGATAATTTAGGTACTAAATGTGTAATTTATCTAAAAAATAATATTACCTTATAAGAAAAAACATATATTACCTTATAATCACTCTTGATTAATAAAAAAATATTTATATACATTAGCAGATGAGTACGATTATTTGATTCATTATACTTCTTATTCTTCAAATTTATCTTGTGATCATCCCATATTAATAAGAAAAAAATACTTAAAATAAATTCTGTAAAAAAAGTAAATTAAATATATAGTATATAAAATGTCACTTTTTTAGTATGTAAAATATTATTTTTGGTCTGTGTTTTAGTACATAAACTTTTAATTTTTTAAACTTAACGTTAAATTTTAAATGGGGGATGAAATGAAATAAAAACTAAATTTTAAATATGATTTTGAAAAAGTTAAAAGTTTAGATACTAAAATGGATCAAAACTGGTAATTTAGGCACTAAACGTGTAATTTATTCAAAAAATAATATTTTGAGGAATAAAAGGAAAGTGAGACAATATTCTGAGTATGATTATAAAAGGAAAGTGAATTTTTTTGAGTTGAGTTGGGTTTATGAAATTACAACTCGAATTTAATTCGAGTCAAGTTTTCAAGAGTTAAGTAAAAAAAATTGGTTCTTCGAGTCAAGTTTAATTTCGCTCACCCCTAATGTCACGTGTCACCGTTCGGTTGGAATATTAACTATTATAAACCCTACTCGACTTGAAAAAAATTCAAGTTCAAACTGAGTTGTAAAATACAATTCAAATAACTTGAATAACTCAAAAATTCTAGTAATTAGTGAGCTTATTTTCAAGTTTGAGTTGAGTCTTTCGACTTTGTATCATAAATGTATATCACATATGAAAAAAATGAAAAATACACATGTATTGTATATGGTTATAAAAGATCATTTAAATTGGAATAAAATAATATCATAATATTATAAATATTTATAATTAAATTTAAAGAAAAACTCAAAAATTTGACTCGCCTCTAAAAAATTCTAAGTCAACTTCGAGTTATAAAATAAGACTCGTCAACTCGATTTTTTTTTACTCAAGTCCACTCGGCTCGATCCAACGTTCACCCCTACGTGGCATGACATGTGACATCATTCGATTGGAGGATTAAATTTATTTTAATTTATTAAAAGTATGACTAAATTGAGATAATATGTAAATAACAATGATCAAATGTGTGATTATATCAAAATATTTAATGTTGTTAACGGTAGTTAACTCGTAGTTAACTCGGGGTGACCACGTCTTTATTAAATAAAAACGAAAGTGACCACATCTTAGTTAGATAAAAACGAAACTGACCATATCTTATGTTTTTAAAATTAGTGACTAAAAGTAGACAAAATGCAAATGTAAGTGATTTTTCATGTAGTCAACCCTTAAAATTTGAAAAGGATTATAAATTAAATTTCTAAATTTATATGTTTATATATTTTTATATAATAGGCGGAAAACATCATAGGTCTATGTAATTTAAAGAAAATAATGTAACATTCGTATTATTTTTTTCTCAATGTGTCTCTTTGACCAACATTTTTTTATCGTTTGATTGTTATGATACTGACGTGACAGTTCACTGTGGTGACGTGACGATCTACGGTACTGACCTGACAGTCAATTTGCCATGTTTAAGTTATCAATTTAGCCTATATGTTATGTTATTTGTCACGTTATTAACAACCATGGACTGTCATATCAACATCGTGAATCAATACATCAGCACCATGAATTGTCAGGTTAGCATCATAACAATTAATGACAAAAAAATGTTGGTCAAAAGACCATATTGGACTTATTTTCTGAGTTTGAGTATCACATTAAGAGAAAAAATAACACGCGAGTCACATTGAACTTATTTTATGAGTCGAAAATAAGAAGAAAAATATAATACCAGAGCTACGTTAATTTTTTAAAAATTCGACTTTTACTTTTTTTTTAATTTGAGTTTGGAGACAATTTTCTACCTGTGAAAATCATCTTTGTTGGAAGTGTAGACACCAAATTTCGTCCCATTATAATATTTAATATAAAACATATTATATTTATTATGTGTTATATTATTTATTTGTTTATTGTTTTTTTTACAGGCCCAACAGAATGTTCTGGTCCAACCCATACCTCACAGCACACAGCCCAGCTGTACCAGACCCCACGGCCCGAACACAACAACCCTAGTTCATGGTTCTCAGCTGAGCGCTGCATACCCGAGGACTCCCCATGCTCCACGCCTCGCCAACACGCCCGGTTCTCTCGGTCACAAGCAACGGTCGTGGGTTCCAAGCAACCAACAAGCATTCAAACAATGAATTTCAGTTTGTTTAGGACTCTATGACTAAAATAGGATTTAAATAAACTATAAATTCATGTAATCAGAATGGATTGAGGGGGAAGAGGAGAACAGAGGTACTCTTTAGAAAGGGATTTCCCTGAAGTTGTAACGCCACCGACGAATGTTTGGAGAAATACAAATTTCTTTTTCTTCAGATCTGTAAAGATTTCGTAATTTTTAGGAGGTTTTGAGTTCGGATCTGGGTTGGGGGGAGAAAAGAAGTCAAAAAGAGTGTTGATTTTCTTCTTCCGAGACCGACGACGGTTGTAGGCGCGACGGAGTAACGGCGGAGCGGCAGTGGAGAGGTCGTTGGTTTCTGGGCTCGTCAAGAACACCAAAGACAATTGATGAACGAAACAAAGAAAAATAAGTTTGGGGTTTTGATTCATTATTTTTAAGAGTGTGAGCAAATGAAGTGTGTTAAAAAAAATTAACTCATTAAAGCAACCTGGTGAGCCCATAAACCTGCGCCTTCTTCTAGGATATGGTACATGTCTTTCCTCGATCCTTCGACTTTTCCCACAATTTATTTTGGTCCTTAAACCCTTTTTGCATTATTTAGTTTTTTAATTTGGCCTTTAAGTTTTCTATTTCTCTTGTTTTGGCCACCATTCGTTGTTATTTGTTCTTGTGGAAGGTTCACAAGTTAAGTCCATTATATTTATATTATTTCGAACGTCCCATATGGCTTTAGTTGTATGCGTTTTGATCCATGTCTCCTTTTAAATGTATATCTAAGCTATTTTACTATTGATATTTATTTACTCAAACTTTGCATGTCACTGTGTTGCGATTTATTTCTCTTTTTGTATGTATTTAATTTAATATATTCTTTGTAATTTCGCTACTGTTTCATTTTAGTTATAGTATTTAATCTGAAACCCATAATTTTGGTTTTCCTCATTATAATTTATTATTTCTTTAATCTAGACATCAACTTGCTTGACAAAATGATATAATTTGTTTGACTTTGTGGGTTCACTTTGTCCCATCTATAGGTTCACTTTGTATCATCTGTAGGTTCACTTTGTAGCTTGTATATATATATATATATGCGTGCATGTATTATGTCATAAGCTGATAATTTTCAATTAGTCAGTTGCATGTGGTTAATGTGTTCATACCTTTATTTTTATTTTTATTTTTTTATTATTCTTTTGTTAATATGATCTTATGTATTTGTTTTTAAGCCATTTTTAAAAAAAAAACTTTTTTTCCTTTTTTTTTAAATATTTATTTACTTTTACTTTCAGTAGTAATTTCAGTCGATCAAAGGTAATTAACCGAATCAGTTTTTAAATTTAAATTTAAATTTCTAATTTTTCGCAATTAAAGACAACCGAAAAATTAATTGGTACCGAAAGGGCGGTTCAAAGGTGCTAATCATTCCTTGACCATAACCGACTCCCGAACTCGACATATTTTTGGTAAAACGCAGATCAGGTAAGATGGTGTCCGATCTACCTAAATAACGTTTTAAAGTGATCGGTGGCGACTCCAATCCACATTTTTCAAGTCGAAGCCCAATTCCGGGGCCCAACCGAAAGACGGTTTCGACAGCTTGGCGACTCCGCTGGGGACAGGTAAGTGAGTCAGGCCAAAATTAATTTTCGGTTGTCTTTTTATGCGAAAATTTTAATTTTAATTTTAAATTTATTTATTCGATTCCAATTATTTATCTTTGATCATTTTTCAAATAAATAGTTGTACTGACATTTTGTTCAATGATTTCAGATTTTTGAAAAGTTTCTATCTCTGGCTCTATACCCGAGCCCCGAACCCTATTTAAGTGGGGGTGAAAGCGACGCCTTCGTGTGAATTTATTCTCCGTATGGGCCTAGCAAGTAACCTTTGGGATTCATATACCTTATGCCTTCGTGTGAATTTATTCTCCGTATGGGCATAAGAGA